ACACACAGACTTGGAACCACAGCAGAATGCGGGAATCACAACAAGGCATCCATTCTAGTGACAAGTCCCAGAAATCGGCAGTGTTCTCAGTCTGTGTTTATGGCGGGTCATTACATATCACTGAGTTTTTTTTCCGAATAGAACATACTGTCGAATATAACGTACATACGATGAAATCGCATACAACGTAATATGCGTATGTTGTATACAAAACAACATGCGTATGTCGTATTCAATTTTTTACAAATTCCGATTTTTCAGAAAAATCAAAGAAGCTCCGGAAAAAAAGAAAAGAAAAGTCGCACAACATTTCAACACGAACAACTTTTGCCTGAGGGTAATGTCGAAATTCAATGCCAAGTTCGAGAAGAAAAAGAAACGGGAACAAAATTATTTTTTACGGCAGGGACATTCCATATTCTGATTTCTTCAGAAATTGGATTTTAGCAAAACTATCTGAAAAAGAAAACTACGGTGTACAACATTGCAATTCAAACAACTTTTGCTTGAGGGTGTTGCCATGTGTTGGTCAAATTCCCAACAAAATTCGAGAAAGAAACAAAAAACAACACCTGTACCACCGGCTCCTGCAAAAAAGTTGAACGCTTAAACTCATTGTATAATGTACGACGGACGTACATTGTATTCGTATACAAGGTACATACATTTTTTTTGGGTTAAGACAGAAGTAAGGACACCAAACAACAGTGTTGAGACATTGTCAGGGCAGAAGAGCCAAATTAGGCGAGAGATTGAAAGCGCCACATCACAAGAGCAGCCGCAGATCACAACGATCTCCACATGCAAGGCATATATTTGGGGTATGTCAGCAGACAATCTTAAAATTGACGTTCATAAGACAACCCAATACGAACACACCAGTCATAGTGAATGATAGCAAAGAAGCAGAAGAGAGAAGAGTGCAGTCATGAATTGACGAGGAGGAGAACGAAGAAGAAGAAGAAGAAGAGGAAGAAGAAGAAGAAGAAGAAGAAGAAGAAGAAGAAGAAGAGGAGGAAGAGGAGGAGGAAGAAGAAGAGGAGGAGGAAGAGGAGGAGGAAGAAGAAAGAGGAAGAAGAAGAAGAAGAAGAAGAAGAAGAAGAAGAAGAAGAAGAAGAAGAAGAA